GTGGCTTAGTACTGCCCCTATCCCCATGTCGGATGCGTCACACTTTACCTCGAAGGGCTGATAGAAATCCGGTAAGGCTAGTACGGGTGTCTGGGTCACTTTCTCCTTCAACGTGTGTTGAAACTGGTCTGAGCTGCTGCTGTCCATGTAAACTCCTTTTTTAAAAGCTTTGTTAGTGGGGCAGTGATAGTGTTGAAATTCCTGATGAATCTTTGGTAGAATGATGCTAGCCCTAGAACTTCCTCAGGCCAGTAAACAATTGTGGTGCGGTCTAGCTTATAATGGCCTCGATCTTCATAGTGTCCATCTGAATGCTTACATTTGTCATGATATATCCCAAAAAGCATACCCTATCTATCATGAAATGACACTTCTTTCTATGGGCATAAAGTTGCTCCACTCGCAATACCATGAACATTACCTTTAGCTATTGTAAGTGCTCCTCCTCTGATTTGTTATACACCAAAATGTCGTCCAAGTTGACTACCACAAATTTTCCAATGTGGGACTGAAATAAATGATTAATCAACCTCATAAAAGTGTTAGGTGTGTTTGACAAGCCAAATGACATAACTGTCCACTCATATAATTCATCTCGTGTTTTGAAAGTGGTCTTCCACTCATCTCCTGGTCTCATATGTGTCTAAGGGTAACTACTACAGAAATCGATCTTGAAAAAGATGGCGGCTCCATGCAACTGTTCCAAAAGATCATCCAGGTAAGGTATGAGGAATCGATACTTGATAGTAATTTTGTTGATAGCTCTGTTGTCAATGCACATTCTCAATCTCCCGTCTTTCTTGGGTGTCAATAAGGTGACGACGACACAAGGGATGGTACTCTCTCGAACTAGTCCTCTCGTAACGAGATCTTGCACCTGTTGTTGTAACTCCTCGTACTCTGTCGATCTTTACCTGTAGGTGGGTCGATTCAGCAACACTGATCCTGTATGAGATTTATGATATGTTGAATATCCCTCAGTGGAGGCAATCCCTCGGGAAGATTGTCGGTCAACACATCCTGGAAGTCATGTAGTAGTAGTTGGAGCGGCGTTGGTATTACATTCTCTATCTCTATCCCCTCGAGAAAAACTAAGGCCAGTGCCACCGGCGCATCACAATTTGACTGCATGAAAGTGGCTCTGCAATTCCTTCCTCATCTTCTCGCATTTGGAAATTTTTTTCACGACTTCTCTTTTCCTCTGCCTCTGCAAGTTCTCCCGCCACAAGAAACCGCTCCTTTTCAACTTGATGGCGACCAACTTTACCCGTGTATCCTCTGGCACAACTTTTTATTCGAGATTCGCTCCACTGATTGTAGCCAGTCAATAAAGTCAAACAAATCCATGCCTCCATCAAATTTTTGGTAGATGCACTTTGATGCTGAAATTCTTGTGCCTCCCATATGCGAGCTCCTCTCTTGGTCTCCTCTAGTATTGAATTCCAAAACGGCTTGGTCTGTATTCCTCGTCGCTAATGTCTTCTATGTGGAATGGGTTTAGATCTTTTGTCCTAGTCACCCCTTCGACTCTCTTGGTCATTGTCTAGAGTAATTTTCCCTTGGGTTCCATCATCCATCTCTACTAATCTCAGTTGCAGACAACCCATATCTCGTTGTATTTTATCCCAGGTGGGGTCTAGTAAGTATCTCCTCGGGGGAATGGTTGAAGGTTTGAGATTTGTGGAAGAAAAGGAAAAAGAAAAAGAATGAAAAGATAGGAAGAGAGAAAAAGAAAAAAAAAAAAAGGACGAAGAAAAAGAAAGAAAAGGAAGAGAAAAAAATTGCGGCCTCTAAGGAACCTTAGGATAGAATTAGGGTTAGGCTAGTTCTAAAACTAAATGATACCGGAGTTAACTCGACTCACAACAATGCAAGGCAAATATTATTAAGCAAAAAATGAATGATACAATCAAGACTCAAAATAATAAAGAAAACATGACAATGGCGACAAGACTAGCACAATCCGGCTATGTCCTAAGGACTATATCCGTGGACATCGGCGGTAAGAGGGGCGGCCGATGTATGTGAACAGAAGGGGCTGCAGGTGCAGATGGCAGTTGGAAGGCAGAGTGCACCAGCAAATGTGGATGGCTGCTGGTAGGTGGAGCAGCAAAAGGCTGCGATATGGCGGACAGCAAGTGCAGGTGGCTGCCCGAAGGTTCGCAGAGGAACTGCAAGTGGCGGCGACTGTTGGATGTTGTGGGAGTGATCGATAGCCTGCCAAGAAGTGAGGGAGAAGGCTGCAGCCTGCGAACAATGTTGGAAAAGGGGACGATCTATTGGTACTATAGGAGGGAACCACCTGTCAAGTCGAAGCACAGTGAGGGAATCTGCAGCACTGGGATCGTAGGTAGAGAAACCTGCAATATCTAGACGCACGGGAAGGAGTGTGGCGCTCTGGGATGGCAAGAACGGGTTCGACAACCATCTAGGAGCACGAACGAGTGACTGCGACAGTTTGAAAGTTGCACGAAGATGTATGCAACAATCTAGGCGTGTAGACGGTGACTGTGGCAATATGGAAACCGTAGAAAGCAAACAACCAGACCCTGAAAGCATAGGTAGGGGGCGGACACTCTTTAGAGGCAAGGGATGGAGGTAACAACACTCTGGAAGAAGAGGATGGAACCGGTGATGGCAGGAAAAGGAGAAATGGCAGAAATAGTCACCACCTCGAACGAGTTACAACAAAATACCTTCTCGTCATCAAATACAGCCCTCAAAAGAAGAAAATGTCAGCGACGGACTCTGAATTCAGAAAACAAATCAACAACCTCCTAACCTAAGCAAACACCATATATATATATATATATATATATATATATATATATATATATATGAGAACATAGAAGAG